TTTTTGAACCATCGAGGTTTTGGACGACTATTTTTCTTGTTGCTCGATCTGCGCGCGCGAACGCGTAGTTGTCTTATCGCGCCACGATTATCAGTTCCCATCGAACCAAGGAGCTCGACCATTCATCTTAAACTTTGCTCACTGCCACCCTTGGCAGTCTGGGGAATCTCCATCGTCGCATTGGCATCCCGCCATCATCATCAGGGTTGACTCTCGTCGTCACCCGCTGTGCGACCTGAGCGGTGAACAGGAGGTGCGGGGAGATCTCCTGTGAGTTGATCTGGGGAACCCTTTGGGGCCCAATCCCACCGCTGTTCACAGTGGTCTGCTGCGTGACTCGCCCAATCGCCGTGCAGGCGGATTTTGTTGAGGCATTGCTGGCGTCTCGTGCTTGGGTTGACTGACCTTTGATCGCAGGACCGCACGAGACCGAGGGTGCCGGAATTCATCCCGCGCCAATTCTCGAAACGGTGGCAGGGAGCAACCACAGTTGCCGCACCGCAACGCCCAATCCCCCACCTACCTATGTAGGGGATTCCCAATTGGAGTTTCCGGAGCGTTTTGGTTCCCCACCACAGGCTTCGAAAGGCGGAATCGCAACGGCACCGAAGTGCTTGGTAGAGTTCAAACCTTTGACGGTGGGGTCACCAACGGTTCTGATTCGGAAATATAGGAGTATCCTCCCGAAAACTGTCTCTTCTTCCCTCTTCTCAGCCACCACAATCATGTGTGAGTGATCATCTCTTTGTTTTTCCAAACCTTCGTGCCGGCTCTCCCCCTCGTGTTGCCCATCCTCCCACAAAAAAAAACTTCCCGCGATCAAACCTCAATCAGCACCCCTTGCTCGGGTGCTCGGTCGCCGATGCAATTGCCCGCTGCCATCGCCGCCAAAGACTGCCCTCCTCCCCTTCCACCTCCCTACCCCCAGACGGCATCGCCATGATTAGTGCGCATTGCTATTGCTAGGCGCCATCATACACTTCTGCAGAGCTCTGCAAGCCGTCATGGGCAACCGCTTATTCAACGCAGTCAACGTCGCTGTACGCAAAACGTTCCGTCTCGCCGCGAACGGTAAGGCCCAACCGGCGCCCAACGGCAACGGCCACAGCTACGGCCAAAACGGCACCGGCCCCATGGAGACCACACCGTTACTCCCCGGGGGCCACGCCGCCCAGGACGACGACGGGTCCATCTGGCGCGACGTCTTCTTCGACCGGAAGCGCACACCCGGCACCGATAGCCATAAGCCGTGGGTCTGGATCCCGGCTGTGGTATGGAACGTATTCAAAGTAACACTTCTGAGTTGTACGTATATGCGCCGATGCCGAGCGACGGTCCCCAATGGCTCATGAGCGGTGTTTTCTAATGCGCCGGCGTTGTAGCTTGGATAAACATCCTTCTCGTCTTTGTGCCCGTTGGCATCTATGCCGGCCACCAGGAATGGTCAGCCGCATGGGTTTTCTCCCTCAACTTCTTCGCCATCATCCCTCTGGCCGCCGTACTCTCGTTCGCGACAGAAGAAATAGCGCATCGACTGGGGGAGACGCTGGGCGGATTGGTGAACGCCACCTTTGGCAATGCCGTCGAGTTGATCGTATGTGAATAAGCGGCGCAAAAATTTTATGCGCGAATATCTGGTACGCACGCTAACCGCGGGGAACAGGTCAGCATTGTCGCACTCAGGGCCGGTGAGATCGAGGTTGTACAAGCATCGATGCTGGGGTCGATCCTCTCCAACTTGCTGCTCGTTCTCGGCATGTGTTTTCTCCTCGGCGGACTCTACAACATGCGCGACGCCAACGGCCTCGGCACCGAACAGAGCTTCGCACAAGGCACGGCACAGACGACTTGCTCGCTCATGGCCCTTGCTTCTGCCTCGATGATCATCCCGGCCGCCCTCTATAACGTGATGGACGGAAACAACGGGGAGAAGGAAGCCAGCATCCTGCTTTTGTCGCGCGGCACCTCGGCCATCCTGCTGCTCCTGTACTGCATGTACCTCTACTTCGCTCTGTACACGCATAAGCAGCTGTTCGAGCCCGAGGCGCAGGCTGTCGTCTTGGAGGAAGGTGAGGAGGAGCACGACGAGACGATTCTGAGCCCGTGGTCGGCTGCGGTTGTGTTGGTTGTTACCACGCTCGTCATCTCAGTTTGCGCGGATCACATGGTCGCGAGCATCGACGACCTGGTGGCGACGGGGAAGATCAGCAAGACGTTCATCGGTCTCATCCTGATCCCGATTGTGGGCAACGCGGCAGAGCACGTTACGGCCTGCGTGGTTGCTGTGAAGAACAAAATGGACTTGGCCATGGGAGTCGCGATTGGGTCCAGCATTCAGATTGCGCTCCTCGTCACGCCTGCGCTGGTTATGCTGGGGTGGGTAATCGGTCAGCCGATGACGTTGCACTTTGAGACGTGTAAGTTCCCCTAGTCGGGCACCGACTTTTCCCGGGCGTTGTACCCGCCCACTGCTGTGGCGCACGCTAATCGAGTCACAGTCGAAACAATCGCTTTCGCTCTCTCAGTCATGGTCGTCACGTATACGGTACAAGATGGCAAGTCCAACTACCTCGAGGGAGCCATGCTCCTTGGGTTGTACCTCATCATCGCCGTCGCCTTTTGGGCCAGTCCCGGCGACATTGGCAAGGGGCAGCTTAACCCGTTACCGATCCAAATTTAATAGTAAAAGTGGATGGCGCTCGTTCCGCAAGTTTTCTTATGTCATTTTTCTTGTACACTACCACTAGGGTACGGCGCTCGGTGGCTTCGGTGTTGGTGGCGTTCAGTCGACGGTCAGAAAAGGGAAACTGTACATTATCAACCCTTAGCGAAGTATCATTTGTGGCTGTCGGGTCTGGTTTGTGGGTTTCCATGGTGATAGATGGAGATGGGTAGCGTTTAGGTTACACAACCCAAGTTATCAAACGGGTCAACGGTGCGCGCCAACAAGCCGTTGAGGCTGTGACGGGAGCTAGTATTGTGTCATCATGAGTGAGGCTGTCAGTCAGTTGGACTGTTCGCTTTCTTCCGTTTTGATGCTGGGATGTTCAGCGGCAGGAGTAGAGATGTCATCAATACACTTGTCATTGCTGCAGTATGTTCCTCGTTGCTGATCAGCGTCTTCAGGTGGGAATCGAGCGAAGCTATCTGCTGAGTGTGGGGGACTTCGTGAGCACTGTTCGTCATCATCACATGCGTTTGATCTGTGCCGTGGTGGCGTTTTTTGCAGCTGGTGGTGTTGTGTTTGCGTACCCTGGAGCGAACTTGGATCGGTGAGAGGGTTGTAACCCCTGATTCTGCGTATATGGATATAACTTGAGCCTGGGAAAGCTTAGAGGTAATGAGGTGATATCTTGGTCTTTTTCAGTCATCCAAAGGCTTCAGGAGTGGGCTTGAAGCTCAAGTTGAAGTCCAGTTTCAATTTACATGATCTCATAGAAATACGATATGCCTGTACACTTCGGGGTTGCTGCGTTACCATGCCATGAGACAACCGGGCGATGCTATGACAGTCATGAAGATGGACAGGACGCAATTAAGGTTCCTCACCCATTTACTCGCCTACCTACCTAGGTAAGGTACTTACTTACCAAGGTGAGGTAGATGCATCGCCTCCTCTCGGAGCTCATCCATCATGACGGCTCAGCTGTTGAGCTTGGCACAACTTCTCGCGGAGAGACATCTTTGCGCGGTAGTCTGGTATGTTTATATGTAAGACCAACACATACTGAGGGTGCAGGTGGTGGCTTGCTTACCTACTTACCTAGGAGAAGTTTAGGTTCGGTAGTCACATCAGGGCCATTGTAATTTGGCAACCAGCGAGCATATGAACCTTTCACGATTGAGTTTGGCCTGTTTCTGGAGAGAACCAAAATGCTCAGTTCGCCTCTATGCGTGTTAGCAGTGATTCGTCTTAGATAACGACCAGGCTACAATACAAGTTAGGGACCTATCTACGTCTGTTCCAGCCTCCCTTTGACTCAGCACATGACGCCGTCAATACGAATCAGCTTTCACGGCAGTGTTCTTAACTCAGCTTGCCCATATGGTGGTCCATCAATAGAGGAGAGAACAAGCTGTCGCATGGTAAGAGGATATAAGATGGGCTTGTTACCTACCTACGTACCTACGTCCATAAGAAAGGTTGCCGGGAGTTCATGAATCGACCACATAGCCCCTTTCAAGCCCTCTTCCTGGAGATGGGGAGAAACCGCTCCTGAATCAGACCAAGCAAGCTACGTGTGTGCTCCAGTCTTGGACTTCGGACCTCGCGGTTCCCTTCTGATACTCGACACGAGACTGGCCATGTTGCGACATTATCGAATCGAAAGCAATATGCCGTGTTCCTCTCAACAAGGGGGAGCTGTCACAGCATCACAGACGATCCCGATCTCGACTCCACAATGAGAAGCCCACCTCACCTACCGAGCTACCTACCCGAGCAACATACCTAGGTGAGACGTAACACCACCACCGACACACCACTCAAGTTGTGCAATCCAATGCATAGCATACTTACTCGACAGAGTTGCCGTCTTGACTGTAACAACCACAACTCCAGCACCGTCTGACAGGAGAGCTGAGTGCTACCCGCATGTATAAGTCCATCATCCATGACTTCACCATCTCACACCGACATAACATATCAACAACACATGCAAGAAGGCATCAAAAATCGCAACATGGCACAAATCAACATCACAAACATCAGCACCTACTCACCAACACATAATCTCCCGACTTACCTGGCCACCAGATATCCCAACTACCTACCTGTCTCACACACACACCCCAATATGACACGACCGCATAACCTCATACCACCCATAGCACATACCTAGCACAACTCACAACCCAGCCCTGCACAAAACAACCCCAACCACCACAAAACACAACAACCGCAAAATGATTACAAAACCATGACAAAACCCAACAATGTGGACACCCAAAACAAAACCTCAGCCCACACCATCAAAAAAGAATCGGAACAACACAACCCACGATCCACCCAGGGGTCGAACCTGGAACCTCCTGATAACTTCATCAAGTTCGTAGTCAGACGCTCTGCCATTGAGCCAGCGGGACCTTGCTCGCAATCGATGAAAGATCCACGTCGGTATCATGACTCACGAGGGTTCATCCTGTGGGTGGGTAAGGTTAGGACATTGCAAGGATGGGATCTGATATCTAACAGGCCAAAATCTGAGATTGGAGGGTGATAAAGCGAGGGTAGACCGATACGATCGAGGCTAGCTTGCATCGTACAAGGACCGTTTGGGGCGGAGAGAAAGGTATGGGATGTTTGCACTTTGTATCAACATCGAAGCTAGTGAGCTGAGCTGGGATGGGGTACGGAGGGTAGGTATCTGGTACCTCGTGCCGTTCAGTTGACGATGTCCACATTTCGGAACTTTTGACTTCTCCATCCCCGCCGTTGGGGTGAGCATCGACTAGCTGGCTAGCTAGCAGTTGCTCCTCCCGCATCAGTCGGTCATGGCGGTGTGGTATCTGTTACTCATGGCCTCATAACCGAGGGCCCTGATCGGTCTAGATTTGGGCCTCCTCGATATGGATATGGGGGTGGCTGGCGGTTAGCTATCATCAACGGCGGTGTGTTCTCGGCGGCCGTTGCAGCCGCTCGGTGAATATCGATGTCTCAGGTGATGCATGGCGGTCTGCTGAGATGGATGTTATATTTTCTCCCTCCTCGAGCGTAACCCACACCACACCAAACACACACACACGATGGACGGCACACGTATGCGGGGGTCCAGGCGTTTTGGTAGGATCAGCTCCTTTGGGCGACACATTGTGCTCGCGGTGAGCTGTGCGCCCAACGCTCTAGCCCACGCAACAATGACTGCCGCGAAAGGGGGCATCCCCACGGGGACCGAGATGGTGTGTTGATTTGCAGCTTTCATGAGTGCATCCACCCTTGTCGTCCCGGCCAAGCTGAGTTCAGCTTCAGGTCGTCTCGCAAGATGAGGGACGGACTGTCCTCCTGCAGTTACATGACAACCACGCAGCCGATGGTAACCCACAGTGCCTTCAACGGTGATAGCTCCTTGGGATTCCAACACAGCAGTGGCCTCATGTAGGTACGCTGAAGAGGGGAGATCAGCTGGTGTCCGGTGAGCTTCTGCTCGAGCGATGGCAGCTCGCGGACTGCTTGATGGCGCTGGCTTTGGGACCACTTTCTGGGCGTCGAGCGAAGACGGACGAAGGAGATGAGCTGCTCAGAGATGATGCTCAGAGATGATGTTCCGCTCCCCCTTTCACAAGCCCAACCATAGACTTGTGCTGGAAGACAGACCCGAGGTCTGCCATCCTATCAAGTTGCCACCCACCACCGAGCGAGTCCTGAATATGCAGCGTGCGTAGCCGAGGTCTGCGCTCTTCCTTCGAAGCCGTGGGAAGCCGGAGCCGCCCTACGACAGGTGCTCTGAGTGCCGTTGGCGATGTCCGACAGCCGCCCCTTGCCGCTCCGTGCATTATCTGAGGGAGGCCTTTGTCTCACGCGGCTCGTGTTCCGACCATGAGGCTCTGACTTGTAGACTCCCGAGACAATCTTGTTCCGTCCCCAGGGTTCCAGACTGGCCTATCGGACGTGCATGCTCTCATGACAGAGTGCAGAATGACAAGAACTGGCTGCAGCCGAAAACCCCTGGCGGTGAACAACACCAGCGTCTCACTGAGATCTTCAACCCGCAGTAGTGACGGAAATTTTGCGCGGAACACGGCACGTTGGTAGTTCGCCCCTCAGTTGCAGTAGTCCGAGGTGAGCGTAGTGCCAGGTATGTAGCAAAGTCCCGGAAGTGGGTATTGCATCACGATGCTAAGAAGCCCCCTAAGAGGAAGCCCCTATACCGCGCGCCACACTCCCCCGGTGTGGCCGTGCCGCCAAACTGGCAAGAAAGTGCTGTCTGTCTGTACATGTATGCACTGACCAGTGGCCACACTCGCCCTCTCCTCTCCTCTCCTCCCACTCAAGCCTTATCGACCCCCCACTGCGGGTGGCCAGTTGACGGCTGTCGTGATGGGTTTCATTGCTCCGGCTTTACCGAGTGGAGTGGGCCGAGCCCGGCACGGACCCGGAGCGGGCCCGGGCTTGGGGTCCCGGCGGTGGGTCGACCGCCTCTCGACCCTCCCCGCGCAACATTTGGTCCATCCCGATCGAGTAGCATAGTCCCATTGTGTAAACAAGATCGGAAAAGGTGCCCACCGGCGCTACCTGCGGCGTTACTCTGCTCGTTTATCGTGGTGTTGACACAGAGCCGAGTCTCGATCGAGAAAGACCATCGTCGATCCAACTATGTCGACAATCCCTCGGTGACATTCTCGGTAGCCAACTTCTCACCTGATAAGAATGCATAGGTGGTAGTAGATCGGCGGATATACACGCGGGACCGCGCTTCGCGCCCACGCTCCTCGAGGTGTGTTGGCGGTGAGTTGCTGTTGTTGCGTGTGCCTGATGTGTGTAACTCTGTCTGTGTGTTTGCCAAACCACTCTAGGCGACCACCCACCACCAAACAGGGGTTTGCCGCCTGCATGCCATCGCCTACCGAGCCTTGCAGCCAAAAATGCAGGGCTAGTTAGCTTTGATGACGCGACCTAGAGTAAATCCTACACTACTCTCCTCAAAGACGTACTTGGCATGGTAGACAATCTCTAGCGTCGTGGGGTGATCGCAACGGCGGCAGACACACCCACCTCCTACCACCAACTGGCAGTGTGGCATCTCTCTCCCCCTCTCTCCCTGGGCAGAAAGCGGCGATGACCGAAGGAGTGAAGAGCGGGCGCCTGGGCGGCGAAGATGGGCAGGCCGCATGCGCCACACAGACCTTGGCTGCAGCAGCGCTGCGAGATTTGATACAGGTGACTGTGAAGCCCAAAGCCGTCTCATTTGCACCTGCTGTCGAGCGATTAGGTGACAAGTTGCGTAAACGATCCTCCTCTCCCATCCGATGTGGACATGTGCGTGCAGGCACACCTCATCGTCGAGAGCGAGCTCGAGTGCAGGAAAAGAAGATACCAGAAAGCGGCCATGTCGTTTCCCGGCACCCTCCCGTTGATGTTGGCCAATGCCATCCCTCACCCCCTTCGCGTTCTGGAGATCTGAAACCCAAGCTGCACAACACCTGCGAGACCCAGCAAGGTTTCTTCTTCATTTCCAGCCTGCCACAATCTGAGCTCGCAGACACTCTTCACTCGCAGACCCGCTCTGATTGCTTCCTGTGCTGTTAGACAGACGGCGAGGCGTCGTTCTCATGGGACAGCCCTTGGTCAATGGTATGACAAGGCAGCCCGACCCGTGTGGATCGCTGATGATTGGCGCCAGGGGTCGCATGAGCCAAGGGCCCACAAGGCCTGCGGGAGAAGCATCGTGGAAGACTGATGGAAGCCTGTTTTGCCTCCTGTCCTGTCCGACTCGAGAGTCCCATTAGCCGTCGTTATTAAGGAAGAAAAAGGCGTCCCAATGGAACCCTGGGAGATAGAGTACAATCCTTTCACACGCCGGGCAGGGAGGGGTGGGTGCTACCCCTACGTGCCGGAACAAGCACAGGCTCGAGTGAGATTGATTGTCGCTGGCTGTCGCATGGCAACGGTCCCGACATCCATCCATCTGGCCTGCCCGCTGAGTTGCATCTAGCAATATCTTCCGACAGAGTTAGGTTTTCTGCAATCTTGGTCGGGGGGGGGGGGGCAAATCAGCCAATGCTCGTCGACACTAATGATCGGCTTGGACTTCTGTCAAAAGATGTGGTGGGCAATATGTCGGGGCAGGCGGGCGGAACACGGCGAGGCACGGCTGTGCGCATCCTTGCCCTCAGCTTCCCCTCGCATTGGCTTGGCCTTGTGCTGCAGGAATGATGGGGCCTCCTGAAGCTGAGCCGTCGCTTCGATGGCTTCTGGAAGAGTTCTCGAAACCTTCCGCAAGGGGGTAGGCCGCCCCCTTCAGCGCTACCCTCCACCCTCCCCCCTGGCGAATTGTGCCCGCTTTCAGCGTCGCCAGCAAAATGGCCTTCATGCACGAACCAGTCGGCAACTCCACACGGCCAACCAGACACCAGGTCGTGAAGCCACGTTCGAACCCCGGGATCTCCAAGGAGTCCGCTGCCAATCTTGCGGCCCCTGCCAGCTGCGAGCCCCTTTCAAGCACCTGCGTCGCCGGGCACACTGTCGTGAGTCGAAGTGAACCTCCCACCTTCATGAAAGAGTGTGCGCTTGGTGGGGGAGAGAAGTCGGCATCAAAAGTGGGTCGATATCTTCTTGTTGGAACTTTGAGGAGAGGCTAACTAGTGAGGAGCGGCGGCTGCGTTTCGACACGGTAGGATATTGCGGGGTGGATATGATGAGGAGAACACCAGCTTTCATCATGAGAGAAGACGTGGAAGAAACGATCGAAGGAGTGGAGACGTTGGGAGATCTGGGAGACGGCCAGCCGCCCCGTACGGATCCGTATTGTGTACCTTGGCCACATGCAGTGCTCTATGCTCTCGGGAGTAGATGGAACACCTGTGGCAGGACAGGTCCGAGGCAGCACGCCCCCCCTGGGTGTTTCGTCGGTGATGGACACGACAGACCAGCGACACCGAGTCCCATTTCTGGCTGGTAGGTAAAATTGAGCGGTTTTTATCCCCCCGAACAGGCGCCGTCAATGGAGCGAGCCAGTGTATGAGCGTGTGGTGTTGTTCTTCTGACGAAGGAGGCGTTCCATATGTCCGTGCAGCAATCGTCATCTCCGTTGAGGCTTCAATCATGCTTTAGTTGTAACCTGAGTATATTGTGTCCCGGGCAATCAGTGGTGGCGGCTGAGAGCGGTGAAGATTTAGCCATTGGGCGTGTTCAACTGGTGCGTCGCCATCCCACTTGGATGCCAAGACAGCGCCCACCCGCCCGTGCTTCTGTTGCTTGGCGATGGCCATTTTGACGATGACGACGATGGATGGTGGATGATGTTTCTGGATGTGGGAGGTGTCGACATCCCGCTCTCCAAACACGGCTGTACTCTGGGGAAGGTGGCCAGCGCGCCCTCCCTCGAAAGGTACCGCGACATCAGCACAGGCGCTGCAGGCCAAGGCCA